CTTGGATTACCTGATCTTATGTAAGCTGCGACCACACATGTAAAATCGTTGTAATTATATTCTTTAGGGAGAAATTTTCAGGTTCAGTCAAGCGCTTCGAGTTTTCGATTGGCTCTTGTTTGCCTACCTCCCTTCACAAACCATTCTTCTTCTTTTTTGTTCCATTCTCAAGTTCTTGAACTGAGTCTCTTTACTTGACCCCATTAGGTACCATCATCGATTTGAACCTATCTCTTATGAATTTCACCGGGGGATGGACCAGTAGAAGCCTAAGGCATCCGGTCTCCTAGGGGTATGGTTTGCCGAATAGATTTGATATTCTTATGTGGTGTTTTGTAATTCCTAAGTTCTTTTTTGAAAATGTCTTTCGAAAATGCTCAATCCAAACATAGATGGAATATGCGAAAAAGGTTGAGGATGTGTTTTGCTACATTTAGTAACAATGTTGGATGTAAATCAATGTACAAGCAAAAGGTTAGTGGCCCCTATTACAACAATATGTAATAGACCGGAAAAAACAAAAATCTTTTATGAGTTGAAGGCGGTTTAATTTTTCATTTAGAACTCTATTTGTTTGATATTTTCTTAATGTTTTCCATTTTAAATAGGATTTTTATGAGTTACCTATATATGGCCTCATTCTTTTCATTGCAAAAACAACATATTATTGAGAGATTAAATCAAAGTAGGGTTGCTTTCTTTTTGGTTTTCATTGAACTCAATTTCAAACTTATCAAGAATTTCATAATTTTTATGATTAAGGGGTCAAGTTCTTTTATAGCTTTGTTTTTTTGATTCAATAAATTATTGAGTCAAGCTTCAAAGTGGGATTTTAGCTTTCTTGAGGTTATGATTCAATCTTTTGTAGGTTTAGAAACTACTATTGCTACGTGTGATCACATCACTTGGTATCAGAGCGTTGATTCTAAAATCAAGATTATATCTTTATCTTGCCAAATTTTTTTTCATCTTCTTCATCGAGTCTCCATCGTTTATTGAATCTTCATCATCTTCTTGAGTCCTTTATATCAAGACAAATACCAAGAACATTCAAGAATTGTTTTGTGCATTAAATATTGTTAGGCAAATTGTTGTCAAACAACTTCCTAGGCGATGTTGTTAAGTCATTTTTTATTCAGTCGGCATTGACCAATTACTGAAGTGAAATATCGACACCACAAATGTAATGACCTAAACC